TGACTCACATTTATGACAGTTGCAGTGCCCCGGGGTGGTGGTGGTGGTCATGTGATCTCCTTTTGCGACCTTCTGACAAGCCAAGTCAGTGGGGAAGCCAGATTCATCTAACAATTACTGGATTTTTCCGTTTATAAGATGCATTGCCCCCCCACCCCAAAGTGGGTGGAAATGTCTGTGCGTCTTATACAGTGAATCTTGATGAAGCCCCGCCCACCCTTCAGCCTCTGCCTCCCAGCAATTTGCCACCTTGTAGCAAACAGCCTGGTCACCTTCAGCACAAGCAGCTGATTGCCGGTTGGATCTGTTTCCTGGAATACCGCCGATCAGCTGTTCCAGGCTGCAGGGATCGCCACCACCCATCGCCACCTTCGTGCGCCCCATTTTCAGCCTCCACACGCCCCATTTTTGGCCTGATCGGGGATATTTCCCCCCCCCTCCTCAAAAGGTAGGTGCATCTTATAGTCCAGAGCATCTTACAGTCCGAAAAATACAGTATATTACTAACTTAATAACTGCAGTGATTCACTTAACCACTGTAGCAAGAAAAGTCGTAAAATGGGGCTAAACTCACATAACAAATGTGTCACTTAGCAACAGAAACTTGGCTCAATTGTGATTGTAAGTCAAGGACTAGCTGTATTCTTCCCCCTGCCTTTAGGAATTTTACAAATATTTATTTTTCTCTCAAAAAATCTGGTTTTCTTGGGCTCTACCCTCAAGGAACAATGTGTATGATTTCCTGTCCTCAGCAGCACATAAATAATTGTTTAACTTACCTTTGAGGCTTGTCGCAAAACATCCACAACTACTTTTACAGGCAAACCAACTGAGATCTCCTTCATTGCTTCTATACACCATTTGTAAGCCTACGGAGAACACAACATAAGTTTGGAAGAGCATTTCTTACTAAGAGTTGTTAGAGATTCTCTGTCAGCAAAGTCACAGTTACCCAAAAGTGCTTTTTCAGGAGGTAACTGGACTTTGTTTTTTTTTATTTGAAGATGTTTCACTTCTCATCCAAGATGCTTCAGTTTATTATTAGTTCAGTTTATTAAGTTTATATGCCGCCCTTTTCCCCCGAAGGGGACTCAGGGCGGCTCACAACTTGAACTGGGGAGGGTTCAAGTTGTCCGCTCTGACTGGATGGTGGGGAAGTGAAGGATTTATATTCCCCACCATCCAGTCAGAGATGAAGAAGCTTCTGGGATGAGAAGAGAAACATCTTCAAAGGGAAAAAAAAAACACAAGAAAGTCCAGTTGCTTCCTGAAAAAATACCTTTGGGACATATTAGGTAAGCTCCCCGTTGGGAGAGCGAGTACGTTCAGTGAAGTGTTGTGAGAGTTGTGTTGGAGAACACACAAACCAGCATACAGAGACACTGCAGTTTAAATAGGCTTCTACTTTCGTGGAAATATTGGTATCAGAGTCCATCAAACAGCCCAAGTCATACATGGAATTGAATTGAATTGAATTGAATTGAA